TTTATGATGATACACTTTCTGTTTTTTTTTCGTATTTATTTGATTTAATTATTCGCTACTAGGTTCATGGATTCATCTAAGGTTAAACACCCACAATATACATACTTACCATTTGGCGAGGGCCCACGGAATTGTTTGGGAATGAGATTTGCTTTGTTGGAGATCAAGTTATGCATGGCTAATATATTACATCACTACAAATTTAGAACTCATTCAACAACAAAAGTAAGAATTTTTGTATGTTATAGATAACCCAAATCATGTTTTTTTTTCAGTATTGTTTTTTTTAGGTAATGTGTTAGACAAATTAATAAAAAAAATTACTTGTTATGAACCAGTATCTGTAGTGAAAATTTTTTGTATAGACCACTTTATGTTTCCTGTTATTGATGAGTTGATAATAAATATTGGATAAGACATTTTCTTAAATAATTCGGAAGCTAAAACAGTGGGGCCACAAGTAGAAACGTCTTGAGGCAATTTATGTAGCAAAAGAGATAACAGATTATTTTAATATTAGATTTCACATTCTGTTTCAGTTGTATACTCGAAATAAGGAAATCTATTCCAAATCAGTGTCGTTTAAATAATTGTGTTTATTACACAGTGGACGAAATGTTTAGTTAGAAGAAAATGATTATACAAGGTAGAGGTGATGTGTTTGGGGTACCAGTGGTCGGAAAAAAACTACAATTACTTTATTACAATAGTAGTTAACTAAAATTACTTTTTTTTTAATATAGGAACTGCAAACTACTTTCGAAATGTAGTCAACAAACTTAACTGGAGAACACCAATATTCAAAGTTAGTTTGAATATAATATTGAAAAGCATGAGGAGGTATTAAGAAGTTTTAATTCATGTTTTTATGAAATTATTTTTTATTCTAAGGCACTTATTATGAATTTGTTCTTTTAGCTTTACGCTATGCTTTTTTTAATCAGTATGGTTTTCTCTCCATGCTTTTCGCGTCAGTAATTTAAGAAATGCTAGGAAATTTTCAAATATTTGTGAATTAAGTGATCAATGCTTTTTTATATCCTCCAAAAATAAAGTACAGTGGGAAAAACAAAAAAAAACGGACCACCCTGAATAGCTTTCGCCAGTGATCCGATCTTCACGTTCTAGGATTCAAATCTTAATGGTTTGAGGGGATGACTGCAGAAATTTCAAAAATTTATTTTTACTAGACCCGCTTGCAATGTGTTAGATGGTAAAATCTGAATGAATGAAATGAAATTTACTGAATAAAAACTAGAGATATTGCAAAACACAAAAATGAATTTATGTTTTTTTTTCAGGTGCCTTTGGAATACAAGAAATACTCAGTGTTCCTCAGTGTTACCGAACTACCTTTGGCTTTAGAGAAAATTAATCCNATGGACCTCTGGGCCGTCTGGTAAAGAGATATACTTGACTCTTATGCTGTTTAAGAAACAGAGGTTGCTTTCTTTCTTTATTTGCACCTGGGCCGCGCAGAAGGCCCAGATCCCATGCATCATGAAATAGTATTAAAAGTTTAAATAAAAGACAGTTTGAGTTCAGCAGTCTATGGGGTGGCAGTAAACAGAGGTTGCTTTGAAACGGTGGATGTTTAGAAGTTAATAGTTTTACACTTTTAGTGGTTTGCAATATTTTTGTAATAAGTGTTACTAAATTGAGTGCACTGTGTAGGAAAGGGAGGATTAACTCTTTAATCAGTTCCAGTAATATGAACTTTTATTTCAACTGTACATGAAACCTTCAAAATCACAAAAACACTCTTAATATTATCTGACCGCAAAGAATTAATCCATTTTTGTTATTAATTTAAGTATAGTTTTGTTTCAGCATCATGGCCTTTACTTCTACTAAAAGGAAGCATGCTATGATATCTGAGAGAGAAAATGATAACATATGGAATAGGGATATAGCTTTACGANTATTATCTGACCGCAAAGAATTAATCCATTTTTGTTATTAATTTAAGTATAGTTTTGTTTCAGCATCATGGCATTTACTTCTACTAAAAGGAAGCATGTTATGATATCTGAGAGAGAAAATGATAACATATGGAATAGGAATATAGCTTTACGAAGTTTGAAATAGAATATTAATAAAGGTAATTGAATTTTAAAAAAAAGCTAAAGCTTCAGATTAGATTCCATTTGTACTAAGGGTTTAAACAAAAAAAGAGCTAAAAATTATTTAGAACATTAAGACAATTAATTTTAAAATAAAATATATTTATACTTACTCGAAGGAATAGGCAATTATTACGTAGTTATATTTAATTAAAAAATATCAATTTTCGGAGTTTATTATGAAAAATCAATCTAATACCTACGTTAATAATCCATAACCTATACCTGAATAGTTCGATTAATCGATGAGAGTGCTGTCTCAATTATTTCGGATTACTGAGGTCTTGCTGTTTAAGAACGCATAAAAAGAAGCTTTTTATTGTTTTATAATAGGCCATTAAACAAAAAATTAAATTTTTAAGCTCTATGTTTTTTAGGGCGAAATTGGTTACGATGCAGTGAGAGACATGAAACTTATGGACGCGGTCGTATCAGAAACTTTGAGAATGTATCCACCTGGTTTAATGTGAGTACTTTTTCTCTTTTTAATTTTTTAGTTCATATCGCATTCTACTTTAGGACCTGGAATTTTTTAGAGCCTCGATTGTTAAATTGTTTTACAAAAAAATAAACGCATCTAGAATACTTATTGTTATAATTATTTATATTATAAAAGCAAGCAATTCACAACTCCACATTCAATTAGAAAAAATTAATTTAAGAAACGAAAATATTTTTTTACTATACTATTAATATATTATGAGGATATTAGAGATTTTGAATTTTGTAAATCTGGGTATCTTATATCACCATAATATATCAATGTCTACATTATCTCTAATATTTAGATATCTCGAACTGTATTCTAGATTGATCTATGTATAATTCTAGACATTAGAGGTCTGCTTAACACGTTCACGCCGGATGTTGCGCCTGAAAACGGGACGGAAAAGANTGATGAACTATCTTGCACAGGTGATTTTTCTTAGTATCTTGTTCTGGCATCGGTTGAGCTTTTTCATGAGGAATTCTGGTATGGTTGTCCATGCAGGTGAGGCATACGAGAGAATTGGTCTAATCATCGAAGTATATATCAGTTTTCTTAGTTTTAATGATACGTTCTGGTTGTAGATGAGTGGTTGGATTATTTTTGTTGCTGTATTTGCTTTATCTATTATATTATGATGTGTTAGATTTGAAGGGAAAGCAAAAGATAAGTTAGTCGATTTAGTCATGCACAAACTTAAGCTATGACTTTTAAATTTTTATCACCCTGATTCTTATTCCGTATGAATACATTCATGACTCGCCCGCTCCAAAGAGGTAAAGTGTATAAATAATTATAATTGGACCTGAAGGTTGAGCTCAGTGCGCTTCAATAGCTAAAGAGAGCTATTAGAAATTTAAAAAAAATATATATAATAATTTCAATGTTGAATAACTGCAAATTTGAAAAGGGCACTGATGTTTCATGCTAAATATAATATTTTTCATTTATTCTGACTTAAATTAGTACAAAATTATGAAAAAAGTATGAAAAATATAATTAATAAAAGCTCCTAGAGATGATTGAAAAATTATTATTAATTATTAGAAATAAATCTAGGTTTTTTCGTGTAAATTTTTTCTCTCTGGCAACAAACTGGGAAGGAAATGGTTAGGTATCGGTAATTTTTTTTTCTTCTGAGTTAGATTATTTGCCAGAATCAGTAATCTTTCTCTATCTTGGACCGTGAAATTGCAATTAGGTTAAGCTTATTGTCTAATTCTTCCTGCTTTTAAAAAATGCACCTCAAGGTATTCAGGTATGTTATATTTCATAACCCATTCAGACCTGGCTTGCAGCATACCGGACATCAGTCTATATTAACTATATTAATAACCATCATTTTATTATAACCATCAATCCCATAAATTTCGTTTCAGTTGATGATAATGATTCTATTGTTTTTTAGATATTGCTATAAGCCATGTTCAGACTGAAGGCGATATCTTGAAGCCAAATGAATATTTTAATGAGTGAAAAGTATTGAAATTGATAACATATTTTTGTTGTTTCAGTTATTGTAAATATAGTTCATGAAATCAAAATTAAATAGTTAACCATAAAATTTACAAACACTTTCAATTAAAAAAAAATATTTAAAAAACACTAGTTTAAGCGTGAAAAATTGGTTCATACTTTTCAAACCGTTTAGTTTCCCAATCAAAAACTTTTAAAATTTGAAATGAAATTAATTTAACCCCTTAACTGCCGCGGGCGTATATATNAAAATGAATTTATGTTTTTTTTTCAGGTGCCTTTGGAATACAAGAAATACTCAGTGTTCCTCAGTGTTACCGAACTACCTTTGGCTTTAGAGAAAATTAATCCAAGTGCGGATTCAACATTGTAAAATTGAGAATGCGCACTGCTTCATATTTTCACCTGTGAGTTAAGGGGTTAATCTTTTAGTTTTATTTTATTATCCT